TAAGAGCATTTCTTGCAGTTTACTTATTGCCATGGCAAGGGGAACTCTAGGGCAGCTACTATTCACGTGAATAGTGGCTGCCCTAGCCCCCCAAGCAAAGTGTGTTTCCAGCAATTGTCCTTTGCCATGGCAAATACAATTCATTTTTTTATTTTTTTCACAAATTTTTTTTTTTACTTAAACAATTAATTTGGATAATATTTTCGGATAAGATTTTTGGGCTCCTACTTGACAATACTATTCATATCGGATAAGATTTTATTTTATTAGTTGTATTGGTTGGTATTTATAGAAGAAAAAAAAGGTACGGGGATTTGGTGTTAAAAGTGAAGAGTATTGGTTTATAGTTATAGACACTGGCGGACCCAGAATTTTTTTAGTAGAGGTGCAATATTAGCTAAGTATGAAAAATGGTTTTTCAGAATAATCATTTTCTCAAGATAATTTTTTGCAGCTTTTATTCCTTATACATCAAATAAGAAAACTTGATTTTATGGGATTTTAATATGAAGTATATATCGACTTAATGAGCCATCATTTTTAGTCGTATTTTGCACTAAAACCGATTTTTCATATTTTGATTTGGTTAGAATTTGATTTTCTAGTATTTTTATTTGAATCCAAATGGGGGGTACTTCCTTATTTGCATTGTAAACTTAAGTAAATGGAGTAATATAAAAATAAATGAAAGTAAAAGGACAAAGACATTTACTTAAATGTTGAAAATGAAAATAAGGTATAGAAAAAAAAAAGTAATTTTTTAAAAAAAATATCGATTTTTTTTTTTTCAGTTTTTTATTGCAGAAAAATTGGTTGTCGTTTGATTGAAGAAAAAATTCAAATCGGAGAGCCCAAACGCCAACACGTGGAAGCTAGTCGTTGGCGGCTACTGTAGCGCAAGGTTGACGCTAGCGATGACATCACCAGCCCTCGGGCTCACACTGGGGCCAAACTCCACCTCGGGCTAGCCCAGTCTGGTGGCCCCTACCTCCTGCCCGGGCTGCCTTTTGTTGCTGGAAACGGCTTTTTCTCCCAAACCCCCCAGACCGAGTCCGGCCTTAGCTGCTGGACTTGCTCTAAGGCTAAGGCAAAGGCAAAGCAAGGGCTGTTACTATTCACGTGAATAGTGGCAACCTTGCATTTTTTGATTTCACCCCAAAAGGTTAGGGCAAGGACCAAAAAAAAAAAAAGAATGTGCAACAAAATATAAACTTGTTATGTATTTATAGGGAAAGTGAATAAAATTGTTATGTATTTATAGGGAAAACATCCATAAATTTTGGGGTTTTTTTTTATTTAAAAAAAATTGAATATTTTTCCATTTTTTTTCAAAATTTTCATTTTTTTTTTGCTCGATGACGTCACCGCTGATGTCAGTGCCTTCGGGTTGAAGCCCAGGCAGGATCAGCCTTTGGGCTTGCTCGGGCTGCTGGTTGCGCGCTGGAGGTTCAAACCCCTGCAAAGGTTCCTCTTGCCTTGGTAAAAGTGCATGCGCTGGACATGCTCCAAGCAAGCAAAGCAATCGCCAAAAAGTCTAAGTAATTTTGAATTTTCTTAATATTTTCTTTGGAGAACCTTATTTAATGAAAATGTTAATTTCTTAATATTTTATTTAATAAATGGTATTTTTTGACATTTTAAATTTTTTCCTATTCTCTACCTCTGCCTTTATATATAGACTAGCCTTTTTCGTGCCTGTGAGAGGCTTTATTTATTTATTTATTTTAAATTTAAATTTATTTTAGAATTAAAAAATATAATGGGTAGTTGTGTTCCATAAAAATAGGATCCATTATCTGATTTTTCTTTTATTTTTAATTTTTTTTAATATGAAAAGTGTGAATTTATCATATTATCCTTATTTAATTAATAATTTCAATTCTTAATGTTTGCATTAACCAATGACATTTTCTAGTATTTTGAATGTTTCATCATTCTCTACCTCTTGCTTTATATATATAGATTAAAGAAAATAGTAAATGTAATTCATCCAAAGAAGAAGAATACGCACCTTTACCAAAGTGACAATGAGAAGCATGGGCAAATCGTTTCTCTAGGATCATCCATAGTGCATGAGAGGATGAAGCCCCAACTGTATATGGCAATAAATCTTCAGAGATTCTTGAATTAAGCCAAACCATTACACTTTGATCTCGATCCATCCATTTTTCAAAGGTTATATTTACATGATCGATGATTTTTATAATTTTCATCAAACATAAAAGCAGGTAGACATATCTCTGTCCCATCAACCAAACCTTCTACTTCATAATTCTTAACAACTTGAAGAAATAGCAATTTCCATGTAATGTAATTAGTGTCAGTGAGTTTCAATGGAACCATACTACTGATGTCTTGAACAGTGATCTATTAGACAGTGATCAGATGTGAAGCAGCAATTGATGTTGCTGGTGCTTGTTGATTTGCCATTTTAAAGAAATGGAAGAAAGTTTAAGAAAGGGTTTACACATACTCTTTGGTAAGAAGATATAAGGAAGGGTGAGAAGTGAAGGAAGTTGATGTTCCACCCCGAAAACTATAATTGCCAATTGGCGAGTAGCACAACCTTTTATAAGCCTATGCTAGGTTTTTAATTTTTGTTGACGCAGAAAAATGGTTCAGCACTTTCCCACGCAACTTAGTGATGTTGGGCCTTCGGTATACTTTGGGTCTCGGTAGGGCGTGCGATTTGCAAGATAGCAAACGCTCGGTAAGGCCTAGGGCACCAGTGTGGTATCGGCCGAAGGCTCTCCGATGCTTAAGTAAGTATGGATTTAGTAAAGTTGAACTACAGATCAATCGGCAGTATGTCGTAAGTTCTGATTACCTTCATTCTAGGGAATTGTGCTTCCTTTTATAGACCTTGGGAGGTGTGCATGTTGTGTAGATTTTCGATGTGGGACTGTGGACATCAATTGTGAGCTTGCCACGTGTCCTAGAGAAGGAGGTTGCCCTAATTGTTGAATCGGTAAACTGGGTGCCAAAGGCAGGTGCTGAAGGCTACCATGACCCATTTCGTCTACGTACCAGCTTCTCATTGGCTGTTCATTTTGGTATAAACAATTTTCCTTCTTGAATTAGAGAAATAATTTGATATGCATAGGAAACTACGAAACCAATCATCTTAGTTTTTGTGTTTACTATTGTGTTGAGTTTTTGTGGATTAGCATATCAAAATAAACATATAATTTTCAGATGCATGAAGGACGCATTGGCTTGCTAAAGCTTACCGCAAATGTTGGGCAAGAACGGTAGCATACTCTCAACATATGTGATCATGTCGTCTCCAAAGTCATGCCCCTCAAGCATATCTTGCCTAATACAAACTGCACCCTTGTCAAACTCTCTTCATTTTTATCAAACCATATTGTTGAGGCCCAAAAAATCCATGGATTGGGCCCAAGCAATTATCAGCCCAATACAATATTCCATAAAGAAAAAGAAAGAAAGGTCTATCCCATGCATGCCACGCTAAATAAACAAATTATCATGCTATGATTCGCGATAAAAATATGATTAACTCATGCTAAAATTAAAACAATCCTTCCCAAGGGCGATAAATTAAAATATGCCGAGCAACATGCCATGCCGTTATCTCGCACCCGACCACGCTACAAGCCTAGGTGGGCCCAAGCCACTCAAAAAACTCGGGGCTTACTTGAGTGGGTTGTGGCATGGATGGTAATAAATTGACATGAGGCCCATTGATGGGCTGAGAAATGAAAAATCTCGGGTTACTTGGGAGCCTTGAGGCTCAAGCCCATTTCTTAGGCCCAAACATATGGGTAAGCACAAGAGAAAAAGATAGCCCAATACCCAAGCAAAACAACTCAACCAAAATAAAGCCCAAACTAAGAAGCCCAATGTTTAATAAAAACCCTTTGCTTAGGCAGCCATCTTGGCCTTAAGAAAAACCCAAAATAGCCCACAAAAGCTTCAGTTATTCTGAAAAACAGAGAACACGTGAAGAAGGAGGATGGCAGACTCATCAAGCAAAGTTGCTGGGAGCAAGTTCCAAGCCAGAGACGCCCAAAGAACCAAGAAATGCTGGCCTGCACCCTGTCAAAAGCACCCCTTGGACCAGCATATATTTTCATTCCCTTTCATTCATCAGATTCAGCCAAGGCAGGGGGGAGGAAAGAAGAAAAAACAGTAACCAAGAAGGGAAGCTCTCACTGCGTAGCCGCGGGAAAGGGGGGACATTGAGCTCCCAAATTTCCTGAATTCGAGCAAATAAACATAGGCAATTTTTGTCAAGAAAGGGAAGTCAGAGAAGAGGAAGAGAAAGGAGGAAAAAGCTTGGCCAAAATAAGTAGAAGCCATTAGGGTTTCTTGAAAAATGGTGATTTCCGGCAGCTATAAATTGAGCCTTCCCCTGCCCAACAGAGACAACCCACAACCGGCAGAGAGCAAGCTTTCTCTCTATCTTGCAAAAATTCAACTCGTGCACTGTTCATCTTCTTCTCCAATTTGTTTTTCTGGCAGCTGCCAGAAGAACTCTGCCTTTCTTTTTCTCTT